CCTAAGCCTCCAAGAATCTCAGGGCTCATCAGGAGGAATGCACATACCCCTCCACCACAGGAAGGGGAATCGCACAGGCAAAACTCACCTGCATTAAACGTTACACTGCAAGGTACATTTCCAGGCTTATGGAATGCTCAGTGAATGCAAATTGACAGGAAACAGATAAACAGAAATGAGGATAGGGCATATTTGCCAGTTCACTAAGAAATACAATGCCCGGAAAGGAAAATGTTCATTTCCAATTGTAAAAATGGGAACCAGAGATGTGATTTAAAATTGCATCCTGGGCTTGGGAATTTAACTCAGCGGCATAAGTGCCTGCCTGGAAAGCGTGAGGTTATGCGTTTGGTCTCCAGTACCAAAACAAACAACAACAACAACAAAAACTCACTTTATTTAAAAAATAAATAAATAAAATAAAATTGCACCTCTTGGGGGCTAGGAGTAAAGCTCAGCAGTACAGCATTTGCCCAGCACACGGGGGCCTTGGTTCCAAGCCCAGCACTGCAAAAATACAATAAACTCTCACCCATCACACTGAGCAAGCTTTGTGGGCTATAAAATCATTATACTTGAGACAAGCACATTACAGTGATGCCCGAACACCCATGTTAATAACAGCACAATTCACAGTAGCTAAATCTAAGATGCAGCCTATGTGTCCATTAGCAGACAAATGGACAAAGAAAGAAAACGCAATGTTACACACCACAGAGCACTACTCAGCCACACAGAAGGACAGACTTGAGTCATCTGAGAGAAATGGAGGCATCTTGAGACCATAACGTTAAGTGAAACAAGCTTAAACATCTCATGACTTCTGTTATAACAAACCCAAAACACAGATAAAGAGCAAAATAAAAGACAGATAACAGGAAATGAAATAAATCTTCTGCAAGTGGGAAGGGTAACCAAGAGACAGGGCAACGACAGGGGGTGAAAACACTGAAACCTGTTATGGACAAGACCACCGTTCCATGAAGAATGTGATCATTATGTACTGCCAACATGGACTGAAAAAGGAACTGTCACATTCAAATGCACCCAGGAAAAGGAAAGTTACAGCAGGTGCTCCCCTTCAACCTGGCAGGCATGGTCTCTATGGACAGAATGTGACAGTGAATCCCTGAGATGCAGCATGCATCTGCGTACCTCTGAGATGCATCCTAAGGCTCAGTGTGGGTTTGTGCAAATTTAAAAAGACTTAATCTGGAACCCAGGGAATCTGCAGCACCAGGGGCTGCATAACCATACCTGGCATACAAGCAGAAGGGCAGTGTCCACCTCCCATCCCCACTGATCCTCGAGAGCTGGCCCTTCCTCTCCTACCAAGCGCCCACACCGACAGGGCTCCCAGGACAATGGCACACCTGCTCCGGCAGCCCACTCAATACCACTTCTACCAGGTCTGTCACTGACAGTCTGGGAAAACATATATGATCAACCTAGAAGTAATGAATTTCCAAATGGATTTTCCTTATCCATCCATTTCACAGAAACCAGAACCGGATATTCTCTGGTGGTTTATGCAAGGACTCAAATGAGTAGACAGTTGATCAAGAAAGCTGTCGGCCCATATAGACAAAGGTCTATCCAATGGTCCTGCCACTCAGATGGGCGTCAGCGCCAGAGGTACAGAACACAGCCGTATGCAACAGAGATCACACTGCAAACACCAGGGGAAGAGTGGGGTTGTGCGTGGCTCATCACCAGAGAATGCTCAGCACACACAAGGCCCTAGGTACAACCCCAGCACAGCAAACACAAGTCAAATCAATACAAATAAGCTGACGTGGTGAAACAACACCCATGTGAACTTCTGAGCTCATACCAAGTACGCTTCTCACCCTCTTCCAAGCACAATGCTTCCAGGGTAATGCTTCAGCTGCGCTGAGATTCCTCACCCTTCCCACCATCCTAGTTTCTCCGACTTTATCCTTTGGATGAAAACCAAACCTGACCCCGGGCACTTGTGTAAAGGCAAACATAATATCTACTGTTTGAGCTGCCTATGCTGAGAGCTGGGCCCTCTCTCCCACGTGGCAGCCTTTCCTGGAGGCTACCCGACAAGGCCACCCCAGCACTAGGGTCTTCCAACACCACAGGACACAGCAGGTGAGTGGCCATCACACCTGGCCCTCCCTCTCCGTTCAGCAGGTGATATCCTGGACACATTTTTAGATAAGCTCGTAAGTCACTGCTGGCATTAAATGATGCCTTGGGGCTGTCACACTCAACAACTAAGGGAGCCAGACACACTTCTCCTTGGTCTCTAGCTCCTGATAGTAAAATGCAGGGATTTTCCTTTAAACCAACAGGAAACAAGCCGCAGCACATGGCAGCTTCAAGTTAAGGAATACAGGACACATGCTAAGAGGGTTTGGAAGCAGCGAGGGAGGTGAATGTCATTTTACAAAGTGCCACTGGGATGCTTTAGCTGAGTGATGCAGTCTGGTTGCCACCCCATGAGGCCAAGTGCTGTTTAGCAGGAGGAGGATGCAGCCACCCTGCATGCAGTTGCGCAGAGGCAGAGAGCAGTGCTTACTGACCCAGAGGCAGAGAACAGCAGCACCCAGCACGAAGATGCTGGGGACCCTAAAGGCCAGCATCTGTGCAGGACCTCACACACCTCCCATGCATCTCAGATCTCTCGGTGGTACGTGACGCCTAGTGCCACATAGATGCTCTGTGAATGCTGGTTACTCTGTGCTGTGCAGAGGCAGGCAAGGAAAAACCTGCACGTGCTCAGTGCAGACACCATGTCACCAGGCTTTCTGAATTTATTCCATCTGGAGCTGAGTGTGCACATGTGGAACCTGCAGATAAGGAGGCGACTGTATGCAGGACGACTCCATCCTCCTCCTGCTAAACAGCACTTGGCCTCATGGGGTGGCAGCAGGCTGCACCACTCAGCTAAAGCACCCAGTGACACTTTGCAAAATGACACTCACCTCCCTTGCTACTTCCAAACCCTCTTGACACTGAACCAGTTCATGGAGGGGCACTGCACCTCCCGGGGCCACAAACGTCAACTCCTCACACAATATCCCAGTCCTGCAGTAGCCATCAGAAGCACCTGCTGAGGCACACATGGCCTCAAGGCCTCCATCCCATGTCCTCAAGGAGCACTTTTCACCTCTTCCACAGAGCAGATTCTAACCAGCATGACCCACCAACACCCACTGCCCCTTGCCTACCATTTGCTGATGCCCACAGCTCCACTGGGTCTGCCCCAGGCCTGTGGGTGCCAGCTGGCCCTCATACAACCCTTGGCTGTCCTCGTCCATGGAGGATGCAGAGCCTGGCGCCTCCCTGTGTTCTGGGGCCTCTCTGGCCTTCCCCACAGCCAGGCTCTCCACAGCCAGGGTCCCTGCCCTCTGCCATTAGCCCAGGGGACCTGGTGCCCTAGCATTAGCACTGTTTCAGTTAGATTTCACATGAATGCCACTGCTTAGGACAGTGCTGGGGAGCCTATGGCACACCTGATGTAGCACTAAAAGCACCATCACCCACTGACCCTTCTAATACACAGTGCACGGCCCACTTTCCGAAGCTCCAATGTTGTACCCCTTCTTTCAGAAAATGGGTTGGCTAGAGAAAAGTTCCACCCTCAATTCAGCCCCCTTCTGCACATTTGCACGTCCACCCTCAACATGGGGGTGGGGAGGCCTCTTCCCCTGCCTAGCACACCTCAGCCTCACAGCCCTGAACCCCTCCCAGGACTCCACAGCACATGACCCAAACCTGATCAGGGCATCTCACAGCAGCACCAGCCAGGGGCCTGCACCAGAGGGGTGCTCAGCCTGCTCCTGCCGCCAGACACAAAGCTCAACCTCACAGAGGTGGTGCCAAGGAGACAGCATGGCACCGGAGGCTTTGTACTCATACTAGCAAAGCACTGGGGTATACTGTGTCACATAAAACACAGCCTCACAGAGTTACCCTTTCTCAGGTCTACTTAGCAAATCCAGCTGCTCCCTGGGCATTTGCACACACTTCTTGTCTCAAGGGCATGCCAACAAGAGCCACTGACTGACAAACCCGACACCTGCACAGTCTATGACTTAGCAGACTGCACTGGGCCCCGGGTTACACACTGGCTTGGCACAGCCCTTTGCACGACAGCAGGAGGCAGCGTGGACCTCCTTGCCTGCTGGCTTCTGAGCCTTGGAACTGATGGGAGTATGGTTCCACATTGCAGGCACTTCCTTGCCACACCTCACAGGCTTCTGTCTGATTATAGCAGCCCAGCCTGTATCTCCAAGGCTGGCTGCACTCTTAATACATAAACAAAAAATACCTTCTTTTCACTAATATTTCCAAACTTTGCATTCTAAGGCACACTAAGCACGCTGTTAACATTCAAAGGTGTTGTGAGGAACTCTACAATCAACAGCATAAACTCTACTGATGGACCAAAAAGCTATTTCCCCAGACCAATCTAAAAAATTCTTGTAGCATATTCAAAGATGAAGCTAAACTAGCTCCTGTTTTCTACCTCATCTCAACAATCATCAAATGTCATCTTTGAGAGAGAGAGAAAAGCAGTGTACTGGATCTGTCAAAACTGGAGTCCTGTCCTCTAGAACACATAGACAGGTGCAGCAGGTCAGTGGGCCCAGGCTGACGGCCCTCCCAAGCAGACGCCCCCCCCCCCTTGGAAGAGGGACAACTCCCCCAAAACACCTCCATCCCACTTAACCCAGGCGTAGACAGGATAGTCCAGATGTAACACAGTTTAGAGAAATTAGAATCAAAGCAGCAGCATCCAAGCCCCACAACGAGTGGCAAGGCCCTGGGAACAAAGAGCACAGGGCAGAGGTGAGTGGCCTACCCAGCTCTCCTTCATCCTTCCCCTCTACCCTTCTCCCTGGGCCAAAAAACCTCTGAGCACAGGCAAGGCTGACTCCCGCTGCCACTCTGAAACAAAGGCAGAAAACTACAAAGAGCCAGTGTTATGCTAACATTTGTCTGCAGCATGGAACAAATATACTTACATCTTTTGCCATGTTACCAGATCCAGGAAATCAAGGCTATGGCTGTGCACCCTCCACAGAAGCTGATTTTTCTGGTAAAAAGGAAGGAAAGACAAGTAATGAGTAAAAATGAAAAAAGTTTAACAGGCATCACATCTCAAAGGAAACGTCTCCCACCAGCACGTGCGCGGCCTCCAGCAGCAGGGATCTCCCCGCCAGATCTGGACAGTTGAGCCGGCCCAGCAGGTCCCTCACTGGGATTTCAGCTACCTCACCAAATGGACACGCGCCCCACAGGCACCGCTGCGGCGCGGCCAGCGCGGGATCACAGCCCGGGCTGGCAGAGGCACTAGGATATGGGCTCCCCCTACTTGGACGCAGGGCCCCACCTGGCACAAGGCCGCACCTGGGTGCAGGGCGCACACGGGCGCGGGGCCCCCACCTGGGCGCAGGGCCTCACGGGGTTGACAGTCAGCCCCCATCTCCACCCGCCCACCCCGACCTGTCACTAGGCCCAGCCCAATCCCGCGGACCCCCACCGGCCCGCAGGCCCTCGGGCCCCCAACGCTAGGGAGGGGGAAGGGGACGGGTCGAGGTCGAGGTCGAGGTCGGGGCTGTGGCCAGGGTTGGAGTCGGAGTAGGGGTCGGGGATGGGGTCCGGCGCGTGGCCGAGCCGGCCGCGCCGGGCCGGGCGGCAGACAGGCTGAGCCGCGCGGGATGCAGCCGGGGGCCCCGCACGCCCCGCATCCCGCGCGCCCCACACCCCTAGCGCCCCGGACCCGGCGTCCTGGCCTCCGTCCCCGCACCTGGCTCCGGGCGGGCGCGGGGCACGCGGCGCCGGCCGGGAGGTCCCGCCGTGCGGGTCGCAGCCCTGGGCCGGCGGCGCCGGGACGCGGGCTCACCCTGGGCCGAGCGTCGGGCCGGCGTGACGTGCGCTCGGCGCGGTGACGTGGGCGCGGCGGGCCCCGCTCCTCACAGCGCGCCTGCGCGCCTTTTCGCGCCTTCGGCGTCCTTCTTCTTCTCCTCCTCCTCCTCCTCTTCCTCCTCCCCCTGCTGCTTGGCTCCCGCTGCTCCCGCCACAGCTGCCCGCCCTGGAGCTGAGGAGGGGCACGCGCGCGCGTATGTGGGTGTGCGCGTGCGCCGGGCGCGGGCGGAGTCGGTTAGCTCAGGACAGCACTATGCGTGCCGGGAGTGGGGCCACGTGTGTGCATGGTTGTGTGTGCATGAATAGATGGCTACATGTGTGCATAACTGGAGTGTCCCACGAGGAACAGAGGGCCATGCATGGACCATGAAGAACAGAAGGCCACATGTATGCATGGCTGTGTGCCATGAGGGCTAAAAGGGTCATGCATGTGCATGGCTATGTGTGCCATAAGTAGAGGGCCATGCTTGTACATAGCTATGTGTACCATGAGAAATAGAGCAGCCACAAGTGTGCATAGCTGTGTGCCATGAGGAATAGAGGGCCACATGTGTGCCATGAGGAATTGAGGGTCACACATGTGCATGGCTTTGTGTACAGTGATGAAAAGAGCCAAAAGAATGCAGATCGTCATCCCCGTGTGTATGTGAGAGGCTGACTACACTCACACCCGTGCGTGTGTTTCGAGGAGGCTGTGTGTATGTACATGTGTTGTTGCACAGAGGAGAACAGAGTACTCAGAAGGGACCAGGTGGATATGTGGGCATGGAGTGTGCTGTGTGCACACAAGGGCACATGCTTTTGTTCGAACAGAGAAGGGAAACCAGTTTTGGGTGTGACTTTTGAGTGCCTGTGTGTGTACACCACACGAGTGAAGGCCAGGTTTGTGTGGGGGAACAAGTACATACCGGAGAATGAGAAAAGGAGACCCCTACGCCAACAGCCTCCACCCATGTAGCCTACATGGGGATCCCCAATGCTTCCCAAGTCCTGGGCATGGTGAAAGGCAGCCGAAGGGGAGTAGCTGGGAAAATAGACAGAGGGTCTGCTTCTCCACTTGCAAAGGCAGTTTCTTAGCCAGTTGGGCCTGGTGGAGTCCTGGGGACAGTGCCTACTTCAGCCACCACCCCAGTGAAGGGCAACTGGGCAACTTTAAGGAGTACAAAATGTGACATCTTACAGGACACCCCACTTACACAACTTCCCAATTTAACCACTTTTATGGTGACTCTTCCCTAGGGAAGCTCCTCACCTTCTTAGGCTGCCAACAGTTTAAGGGTGATTAGCTTCTTTGAAAAGAAACAGAAGCCACACTCCACGCACTGGTACTCAAGGAAGTCAATGAGACTAGTGTAGGAGCCAACCTAGAGAAGGTCCTCCTCTGAGGTGGGGTCTGCTTGCCATTCAGGGTCCCATTTACTTCCAAAGCTACACACTTTTTTGCTCCTCAGAAGGGCATAAGTTCCCTATCTGGTCATTTTCTACAACAGGAATTCCTTAGCCTTGGTCAAATTTTTGTTTTGTTTTGTTTTTTTGTCTTTTTTCCTTTTTATCGGTACCGGGGATCGAACTCACGACCGCCTGCTTGCAAGGCAGGTGCTTATGCGGCTGAGCTAAATCCCTAGTCCCAGCCTTGGCCAAATTTAAACATCCCACCCATGAGGTAATGGTAAGACTGTGTCCAGCCACTGAGCAGCAAGCTTCTCCTGGAGCTCTGGACTTGAGGCTAGAGGACCTAACTCAGGAGCAGAGTATGGGACTCAAACCCCATTTTCCAAATGCAAGATTCTGGGCATTCAGCAGTGCTTACGCAGGTTGATATCTACTTGATAGGACTTCTGCCCAAAAATCACCATGTGTTGGAGTTGGTGCCACACCAACAAAGTTCCTCAAAGCTTTGGTTTGCTTTGGAAAAGGCAAAATGTCACTCCTGGCCTATCTGTAGTCTCCTACCCCACAGAAAGCCTGCTTCTATATCAAAATAACACAATTTTAAAAGTTTAAGTTAAGACCCCACAAATTTTGATTAGACTGCTGAAATGCTGTCTTTTTAAATAAATCCTTACTCCCCACAGTTCCCTACATCTCAAGCACCCAGCACATCTCTGGAGAAGCACAACTCTTACCCATGCATGCAACTGTTGATGGTAACATCACAGTGGCTGCCCTGTGGGGAGAACAGTCCTGTCTCACACATGTGAGTGCCAAATCATCCTAGGGTTTCTGGTGCTTGCTGCATGAAGGTGTGGCGGGGCATGCTTTATTAGAGGAAGGTGGCCCATCTTTCCTAAGACAAGACATCCCATGAGATTTCTCTGTGACTGGAGCTAATCTGAAATGTCGGGGCCTTACATGAATTCTTCCTTTTGGTTTTCTTCAATGTCACTTGTCTTTCCTCCTGCCTTTCTTACTTTCCCCTTGTTGGGTTAAGTTTCCACTTGGAGCCATCAAATGTTTAAAAGTAAATAATTACCAAAAATAGATTTTATACTGTACTTTGAGTAAATTGTATGATATATGAACTTTTCCCATTAAGAATTTTCTTAATGTTTCAAAGGATATTTTGGGCACAATTAGGGAAGATTTTACATGTTCCCCATGTTAGGCCATGTTAGGCAAGAAGCAATTATTTTGCTAGGTATGATAATGGTATTGTAGCAGTATGAGATTGATCTTACTCTTAAATGCATGGTGATGCCCAAGGACATGGATAAAAATAAATTTCATGTTTATGTTATGTTAAAAGACTAGGCTGTATACTATATGATTCTATTTATATGACGTTATAAAAAAGCAAAATATGAGAGACAGAAGGCTGAATAGCAGTGCCTAGGCTGGGCTGGTTAAAATGGATAGCAGGATGGAATGGGGCAGGGGTGTGACGGAAATAGTGACACAAAGTATTAACCTTGCCTGATTAAAAGATTTGGCTGTTTTAGCCTCCAACCCGGAAGGTAACCACTAAGACCACGAATTTCTTGCCTGATCAGTGTCTATTTCTGTGGGGGAACTGAGGCAAACTAGATGGCCTATGATAATATAATTAATAGAAAATTATAGAGCTTGAAGACAGTCCTGGAGACTCTGAAAGTTGAAATCAGTGTCAGAAACAAGGGTGGTATTGAGTATCCATAAATGTATAGATGGTAGTATTAGTGACTGGTCCTGGGGAGCTCTGCACTTGTAGTGCGTATCAGAAGGAAGGTGGTCATTGGGACTCCAGTATAGCGAAACTGTTTTCTGTCTTAGTGTGGCTGCAACCTGAATCTAAATCTATCAAAACTCATTGAATTGTGGACTTCCAGGAAGATGGCAGAGTGGTGAGCAGCACAGAAAGAGTTTCTCCGAGATTTAAAGTCCAGAAGCTGCAATTTAACAACTGAGGAGGGAAGTGGGTCTCTGGGACCCAGGAAGGATCTGAAGCAAGAATCGAAGCCTACGGGAGAGTGAAGAGGGGGACTTCAGGGAAAAAAGAAAAGAAGGTAGCAGGCACCACTTTCCTCCTAAGTCTGGACTCACTGTGTGGGAGGGGTGGCGAAAACCGGCAGATGCACTGTAACTACTGGTGACCTCAGAGGTCTCCACAGAGAAACGCACCAATGGAACGGAGCTGTAGGTGCAGTGAACTGCAGTGGCTGCTGAGTTATTCCAGCTCAGACATCTCCTAGGAGAGGGAGATTGGTCAGTAGCCATCTTGGAGAGGGCCAACTGAGTTTGGAACTCAGAACAGCTGCAAGCTGGCTCCATCTAGTGGCTTCCAGTGAGGCTACCAAATTCAAATCAGCAGTAAGTCAGGGAGCCAAGTTTAAGCCAGCCCAGAGCCAGAGTTCAAGCCAGCAGGAGGCACGTGGAGTGTCACAGCCAGAAACCAGCTGAGCTTTAGTGTAACAGAAGGTGCAGGCTTGCTGTAAAGCTACAAATGGCTTGCTGGGTTTAAGCAACTCAGATCTGGATTCTATTAGCCCACTTGTCTACCAGTGACAACCAACATGCACCTTGAAGTAGATATTTTTTTCTTTTTTTTCAAATTCTTTTTTTTTCTGTTCTTGTTTTTGTTTTGTTTTGTTTATTCTTGCTTTTATATGAGTGCGAATATAGTTTCTAGAGGGTTTTTTGTTGCTATTCTGTTCTGTCCTTGTTTTTTTCTCCCTTCTCTCTCCCTTCTGTCTTTTTCACCAGTTTCCCAAAGTTTGTGTCATTTTCCCTTGTCCTCTAGCCTTGCTTCTAATCTTTTACTATCCTATTTGTGTATTTTCCCCTAGCCCATTTTAAATTTTCTCCCCTGAGGGTAAAGTTGTCATAGGGAGACCTTATTTACTGCATACAATTTTCTGGGTTCATTTTGGATATTGTTATATAACTACAAACCTAGTTCATATAGTTAAAGGTGACAGTTTGTCATTTTCTAGATTGATGCTATTGAGTGCTATTCTTATTACTGATTGTACTACTTTAGCCACAGTGACACAATTTTTCTAATCAAATGATGTTAAAAACCTGTTCACAGAATACTGGCAGAAAACTTCCCAAGCAAGGAAAAAATTTGACATACAGGTAATTGAGGCATATAGCCATGATTTTAAAAATTTTCTTCAGCAAGGCATATAATAGTAAAGATCCCAGAAACTCAACACTAGAACAAAATATTAAAAGCTATTAGAGAAAAGAAACAGATCACCTCTAAAGTAAAGCCCATCAGAATCCCAGCTGACTTCTCTACACTAAACCCCAAGATCTCAAATCAAGGAGAGCTTAGAGTGAAGCATTTTAAGTCCTAAAAGAAAACAACCTCCAGTCAAGATTGATGTACCTTGCAAAACTTTCTCTCAAAATTGATGGAGAAATAAGATACCTCCATGACAAAGAACATCTGAGGAAATACTTGACCACCAAACCAGCACTCCAAAATATTCTGAAGGACATTCTAGAAAGGAGTAATGATTACAATAACTCCATGAACTCCAACAGAATGAATCTACCAAGCAGAGCAAACAAACACAGGGGGCAAAAAATGTCACCAACAACAGGAAA